CTCAGGGGAACCAGCAGCAGCTCTGCTGAAAGCATGAAGGTCTCCTGACTTCAAGTCCCACTTCTGAGCACAATGGAAGCTCCCACTTCCATTGGTGGCCTGGAGCCCAATTCATGGCAGAGTCAGAAGTGCAGTGATTCACAGCCCCGTGGCTTCTCCCACCCAAAAAAAAAACAACAGTTCTGGTCCAGTGGAAAAGCATTTCGCATTGCTAATCTGAAGAACCACTCGGATGCATAAACTGTTTGGGTAAATTAGCAGGTATGTCATGCATCAAACTGCAAATTTTTAAAATGTTTAAATAATAGGTTTAAGCAGTGCTATTTTTTGTCAGTGTTAAACCTGTGACTCAGTCTATCTTGCAAGCTACGGTCTACTCAAATAATCTGCATCTTTTCACTTGTCTTTTTGTTTAATACATTAGCTTCTGCAGGAAAGACGAAGTCAGCAGCAAATAAAAGCTACAACTCTGCTCTTGCAAGATGCTTAGCTTGGMATCACCCAATGAAGACAGCATGACCCTGCTCGTGGATCAGACCGTTAGGATTATTCACAAAACCGGGCATCAAATTAAGTGAAATTAGTGCTGTGAGAGGCATGGGACTGACTGCCCCAGAAAACAAAGTCACCTGTTGTCACTGACTAAGAGCAGGACAAGCAGAGATCTGTCTTGTCGTTCATTTTCCCCTTGATGTTGAAGAGAGCTGAAATCCTGGCTCGGCGCCTTCCCAATCGTGCCTGTCTCTGCTACGCTTTTCAACAAGACCGGGACTTGTTCCAAATGTACTTCCAGCTCTGAATAGCAGTCAGCTGGCAACAGAGCCCGTCACTACCAACCTCAGCGACATCTAAAACTCCAACAGAGACACAAAACACTTATTTATCCTGCTTCCAGCCACCCAAGCTTCTGAAAGTTAAATTCTGTACAAATCACAGCTTGGAAAGACGTTCACAAAGATCTGGGTTAAGTCAAAGGACTGAACCTGATGCTAGAAGGCATGGCAAGGGGTGCTCAAAAACAACCTTCCAGGGCAACAACCTGTTAAGAAGCTTCACAGGGGAGTCTGGCCATGGTACGTGGCAGGAGGATGGTACAAGAGTGAGACAGGACTGCTCACCTGTGCTGGCGGCTCTGCTTCTTGCCAGCTTGCCAGCCCCGGATGGCTCTGCGTGTGGCAGTGTCATCTCATGAACCCTCCTCACTCATCCTTTTCCATCCAGCTGCTGGAAATAAGCAGCAGTTTCTGCAGTCACACACTGCCCTTGCAGGAGGGCGGCGGGGCCTTCTGCTTTCCCCCAGCTCTGCGGAGCAGAGGCAGCTCCTCCCTGCCGCAGCAGCACCGCGGCCACCCGGGTCTTGCTCTTCTCACAGCTATTCCCAGGCAGTGAGGGGGGAACGTTCCCTTCCCTCCACCACGAGCCAGCACGGGGGCTTTCTGCAGGCTCSAGGAGATAACGGCAGCACTTCACATTTGGGAGGTTTCTCTGAGACAGCAAAGAGAAGAGAAATGTGTTCCCCCTCCACTAAAGGAACTGCAGGAACAGGTTACGTTTCCCCTCTTGCCTGAGGCAGAAAACGAATTGGTTAGTGAGCCCTAACCCTGAAGCTGGCAGAAATGTTAAGTAGAGAGGTATTAAAATATTACAGATTTCTCCTCACACCCTCCTTTAATCACAGTTCAAATCACAGTTTCCGCAAAGGGGGGAAGCTGGGAGATGTGGAAACGCGAGGCCGTGCCGGGAAGCTGGCGCCGGCGGCCCCAGCTCGGGCGCACGGGGAGGCAGAGGCGGCTGAAGATGCCATCGCTCCGCCACGCAACRCGGCTCCGAGGAGCTGCTCCACACCAACACTGCGAAACCACTATGGATTTTTTTCCATGTGTTGCACAGTTCCCAGCCCCGTATCCTCCCCCCTGGGCCTGATCTGCACTAAGAAAGCCCATCACTGAAAGAAACGTTTGAGAAACGATTCCCTCCGCGCTGGTGCCACCTCCTAGCATGGACGAGCCTGAACTGTTTTCAGTGTCGCTGAAGAAAATGTTAGAGACACCATGATTTCCACACATACATACACACACACACGCCTCCGATAAACATACAGAAATAATATTAAAATGATTCCCGCTACCATACCTTATACTGACTCTAGCTACAAGCTATAAACTTCGCCTCAATGAGGCCCGGGCAAGAATATTGGCTCTTCTGCATGCAATCAGAAATGATCATTTATACAGTGGCAACCTCTGCACAAAAAAAAAAAAAAAAAAAACCAAAAAAAAACACCAACCCAAAACCCTTCACAAGCTTTTTTTTCCCTTTGTTTTCTGACTAGCCTAGAACAATATGAAGGAACAATTTTCACGTTTTTTTCACCAGGCCAATTAGAAGTAGTGAATCAGCAAGGAAGGACACGCTGATCTCCTGGACTGCTAGCATGCTCCTCCGTTCACAGTATCAATACAGTAAAACAAAAAAAACTATTGAGGAAACTCACAGCTATGCCATACAAATAAGGCATTCAGCATTTCACATCAGCCCTTCATCACTAAGCCTTGATGGTTTGGTTGCCATCTGTTTCAGAAATATTTTGCTTGTATAGCAGTTACTGCACCTTCACCCTTCTCTTCACAGCAAGCTTAGCAGGGAAACTTTCCCACTATATTTATATATAATATATGTATATAAATAATTTTATGTTTTTATAGTTTGGTAGTATTCTTTTAAAAGTTCTATTTTAAAACACTTAAAAATCTTTTAAGTAACTAAAGTAACTTTTGATGCTCTCTAGTGTGAACAGGATAGGATTTCAAAGTTTTTAACTTTTTTTTTCTTTTTGATTTTTGGTAACTTCAAAAGCTATGACTAAAGCAGCATACTCTGCACACCTCCGTTCCTCCCCAAAGCCTGATTGCAATGAAACCTACCTCAGCCACCCTCTCATCTCCCATCTTCCGCGCCTGCCCTCTGGCAACCTTACTGTTTCTGTACGATTCTGTGTGACCTTGGGCAGGAAAGCGAACGCGGCTGGTCCCTCGCGTGGCCGCTTGCCACCTCGTTCACCGTGCGACGATGCACTTGGCRGGAGAGGAGAAAGGGACAGAAGGAAAACGAAGGTGAAGTATCAGTTTTCCAGTTTGTAACTATCCACAAAACTGTGCTTTGCAGGGCCCCTGCTCCGACACTGCAAAGGCTCCTCTCCGCAGAGCGCGTCCTGTCTGTGCCGACGCCGGCACCAAGCCCTCCCTTCCCTGTGCAAACGGGCACTCGAGCCACATCTGCTTCCCCAAAGGGAGCTGGGAGGTGCAGTGAGACCCTTCGCTCGCACAGAATGGAAGCGAGGTAAGAATAATTCGCCCTTCTCTGAAAACAACCACTAGTCCCAATTTGCAGGTCGGGGGAGCAAGGCGTGGGGGGTTTACCTGTGTCCCACAGAGTGCAGCCACACGGCAGGACAAACTGCATTTTCACTGAAGTCGATTGCCTGCCAAGCCCCCCAGTCCAACCACTTGCCCAGCTTGCTTTGCCAAAGCAAGATGAAATGCATTTTTTTTAATGTCTCACTGTTCCTCCCATCAGCGCACGGATCAGAACTTCATCCTTCCTTATGGTACACGTTACACGGCCTCAAGGGAATTCCTTCAACCACACGTCTTCTCCCAAGTCCAGTCTGTACAACCTGTAGTTCATTTCCCCAAATCCATTACAAACAACCCAGCATCAGAAACAAAGAAAACTCTTAAAATATTGCATATTTTTAAAAAGACTTCTTCAAAAGATGTCAAGATATTTGCACTTATCTACCTGTCCCATGCGTTTCCGGTTATGAAACACGTAAGCACGTGCAAACACCCACAATACACAATGCAGGCATCTCTCTCAGGGTTTGCTAGACTTGCTCTAAACATCAGAGCGCCTCAGAATATAAAAGTTTAAGTCCATGCAAGGGAAGAGTTGCGATTGCTCTAGGAACCATTAACTTTTAAGTTTCCTGAACTGTTATGAGGAAATAAAGTAGGGTTTTCTTTTCTTTTTGCATTTCATTGATAAAAAAAGTTATCAAACTCGTTTGTAGAAACATGGTTAAAAGCAACCACCCACGATTGCTTTGCTGGGATTATTGTATTTCAGTATACCATATTGCTGTTATAAAAGGTAAGTGCGCGTAGAGGTGGGAGCGAAGGACGACTTTGGTAGCCAGCCTCTACCTCACCAATTCAGCCCGCCCAGAGACCTCTCGCCAACGCTCGGCAGCGCTGGAAGCGCGGCAGCGGCCGCTCACGAGCCCGAGCGCTCCGGGCCGCCCTGATCAGCACCGGCCGAGGACGTCACCCCTCCACAAAACCCTTCCCCAACACATCAGAGTCTAATACGAACCTCACAGCTGCTACATGGCACGTGCAGTAGCTCAAGCGCTTCAGATCTCGCTGAACTCTAGAACGCTGCTTCAAAGCCGTGCCCGCTTGTACCAAGGGGCAGGAGGGCACATGGCTGGAGAGGGCAAGCCAAAAGCCCTAAGATAACCGTTTAAGTAAAAATGTAAAAAGAGACACACTGGGAGAAAAAAACCCAAACAAAACAGGGATGAATACACTCAGGCAAGGCAGGCTCCACCAGGACAGTCTTCCTGTATCTCTTTAACATGGCAACCACCTGGGAAAAGGTGAAAGGCAACTGCATCTTGCCCCGGCTCTCCCGTGCTGAGAGAGCGGCAGGTCGGGCGAGGACGGTGCTGCGCGAGGCTCCCGGCTTGGCGTGGCCAAGAGCCAGCACCACCAGCAGCACCCTGCTGCTGGGCCGCCGCGCTGCTGAGACTAAAAATGACTTGTCCTGGGTCACTGCCACGCAGTAAAAAAATTTAAAATCCTGTCGATCCCTGAATCAGAAGTTGATTGACATAGTTGCTTCGTTTTTCCCCAAGAGGATGAGGAAGAAGGGAGAAAAACTGTTAACACTCTATGTGTGTGTGTGTGCGGGTGTGTGTGTGAGAGAGAGAGAGAAAGAGAGGGAAAAGATCTTTCTATTTTGGCAACGTTTTGGGAGCTTCTTTCTGTCCAGTGGTGGCATTGCACTAATCACAGTACCAGCCTGCCAGGTTGGTGCTGACTCTTTAGGGCTGAACTGGGAAGATGGTCCTTCCTCCCCAGCTTCTGCGGACGCATTTCAGTCGGGCCCAGTCGTGGACACGGATCCCTGTGCCGTCTCCCCCACGGCCACGGCTTCCTCCTGCGGGGGAGACTCTTCCTCTGCCTGCCCCCGAGACGTGACCGTGGTCTCGGGGGAAATGCTGTGGGGCCCCTCCAGGGGCAGGCAGCCCGGGTGGTTCTTGCGAAAGTGCTGGTTGAGGATGGCCTGGAAAGGAAAGCTTTTGCCGCAGACGTGGCAGTGAAAGGGCTTGTTGCCCGTGTGCTTGCGGATGTGGTACTCCAGCTGATCCTTGCGCGTGTACTTCTTCCCGCACATGCGGCAGACRAAGGGGGTGATGCCCATGTGGAGGCGCATGTGCCGGTCCAGGCTGCCTTTCTGGTTGAAGGATTTGGCGCAGTAAATGCAGGTGAGCCGGGGGTTGTAGCGGAACCAGCGCTCCGAAACTTCCTGCTCCCGGAGATACTCCACGTAGCCGCTCACTCCAATCATGGCCGATTCCTCCCCCTGGGAAGGAAACTGAGATTTAAAGATCAGGCAGCTTAAAAAAAACCATATATGATAGTAAGGAAGATCTGCTTCTTCCTCCACTAGGCCCCAACCCAGATGAGCAGGGAAGCATGTGCCAAACCTAAAAATCAGCAGCACTAACATCCTCAACCTCAAGCACACATTTAAGTGCTTAATTGGAGCCCTGGGGCTGGAGACAAATGAGCAATCAAGTAGAAACCTCTGCTCGGGCTGTCCCTTCTGCCAAGTCACTCACTACAGCTGGGAGAGAAAACACAACCCTTGTCAGGAGGGCACTTAGCCACTGACTGAGTTCCGGATCAAATGTATCAATGCTCATTAATAGCCTGTTTTTTTMATCTTGGGCCAATGTGGTTAAAATACAGTACACTGTTTTCTGTTTTATTTACTCTTTTTTTAATGCCAATTGACAAACCTACAGTAAAGTGAAAGCAAAATAAACTATAATTTACATGGGAAACTCTCCAGGTTTCTTTACAGTGAATCAGGCTTGGCTAAATGGTTATGAAATCAATACCATCTCCACTGTTTTGCAGGGGAGAATCTGTGGCATGGACAACAAAAAGGACTTGCCCAAGTCTCACTGCAAGACTAGCAGGCACCTCCACATCTGCTGAAGCCAGAAAGAAAAGCGGACCCCAGCCATAGGCTCAGGCTCAGCCACATGCCCTGCTCTTTGTAGACAGAAATCGGAGTCAGAAGTGATGCAAAAAGACAGTGTCCCGAATGCCTCCTCTCATGGATGGTGCCAAATTCATAGCCCAAGTCTTAAACCACTCTGGATGATGCCAAAGGGAGATAAGCAACCAGTATAAGCACCAGGAGGGCTTCTCCAGCAGCAGCCGGGCTGAGCAACAGCCTAACTGTGMCAGAAGCCATGAAATCTGACTGCAGAAGCAATGGTAAGCTGCTTAGGGCTAAATGTGATGAACAAAGCTGCGGTACTTTCCATTCCACTGCTGCCACCAGGCAGGAATTACCAGGAGGCTCTATTTAGAGCATAAATATGGCAACACCAGGAGAGTGGAAGGCGATGATGCTTTCCCACGTAAGTGGAAACCCACAGCTCTAAGCCTGAGGCCCTTTCACAATGGAGGAATCACAGTAGCTTTTCCATACTTAATGCTAAAACTGCTTTGCATGTTGCATTTGCCCTGCAGGATTAGTTTGACCTGAAATTTTCTAGATGGATTCTGAGGACACAAAATATTTCAGCAATGTGTGAAGGAAAAGGTCCCTTTTTTTCCCTTTTTATTTTAAGTCAAATTGATTACAAAGCAGACAGAAATAGTGGGGTGCTTTTTCCATTAATTTTATCTTACCCAAAGTCCAAGCTACTTGGTAACTCCTCACCTGCTCCCAGCAAAGTCACTTCACTAAGAACTGACACATTATTTCCTAATGTGTCAGGGACACAGGGTCAGTCTGCAGCTGTGGCATGAGAAGCATTTACAGCACAGCGGCACTGCAAGGCTGGCTGTGTGCAGGAACAAAATAATATCAAAATGATTATTTTGATATCATTTTCACATTTCACACACCACTGTTCAGTTGCATCTCTGCACTTCTCTCCCACCTACCCCAAAACTGTGTCCCAAGAAGGCAAAGGAACAAGTCAGAGCCACTTTATGCTGAAAAGCTGTCACGCTGCACAGAGACCCCTGCTCCAATCCACCCCCCCAGGGCTCTGGTGACACTTCATCCAAAGGGTCTCCTCGTGTAGTACCTGGAAGGTGTGGAGAATGTTTTGGTACTAGCATGCAGGGATTCAGATTTTGTCACCCCTCATTCTACAGAAGCCACTAGTTCTGGCCTTTGCTGACCATGTTTGCAGGGCAGATCCAGCTCTGCAGGTGAGTGGGGTTTCTCCTCAGGAGCTGGTGGCCTGCCCAGAATGAGTGTTGATATTTTGTGCCCTTGGACAACAGGAGAAGCTCCTCACGCTTTCCAGGTAACTGGCTGAGATCCCAAATGACAGGAAAAATCAGTTTTAAGCCATACCCTGACAGCATAACTTCTGAGCGTGAGTAGATAAACACTTGGCAAAGATAAAAGGTCCTTCTTTTGCAGACAGTTTTGCTTGCAAATATAAATTTATATATGGCATCACAAGAGAGTCAGCTTAAGCTTCAACACCAACGTTTACTCGCAAACTTCTTGAGCTGCCTACCTGGGAACTGGGCTGCTTGGGCTCATCCATCCGCCCGGGAGACTCGCTTTTTGATCTGTACCGCTCGGCCACCGCAACCATGCTGCCAGAAGGGCTAAATCTGTGGGGTGGGGGAAGAGCATAAGYGGAGTTTTTAATGGGCATCAGGTCAGTGCGGTGCTTGGAGCAACAGGTGAGGAACAGAGGCACCTGTATCGCATCTCTTCATCCTCACCAGCTAACACACAGGAGGCAGAATGCAGAACAGTGCAAGTACAAAGGAAAAGCCAAGTCATACTGGTTTGTGGGTTCAGTCTTAACATCTGAAAAATAAAACTGAGTCATTTGGCTTCTAGTTCAGTAACAGAAGAGCTTTTTTGGTTGCTATTGCAAGGAAATACCCTGATCTGGGCTCAGTGACTCAGGAATTGTACAAGGGCAGAAGACCCCTGTTTGCTCAGGGGCCCCCCCCGTWCACCCGCTCGCCACAGCGAAGCTGCTCAGCACAGCAGGGACACAACGGGCTCCACGTAGGAAACAGTGGATATTGTTTGATATGCTGCACTTGRTGCCCAAAGCCAAGTGACCTAGGGAAGAGAATTAGGAAACTAGGAAAGGATTGTGGTCCCAAGGGCCAGCCCAAGATCATTCCAAAGAGCACAAATCACACATTGATTTATCAGGCAACAAGCGATGGAATATCCACTGCTTCCTGGTTGCTGTCCCCATGGGACTAGAGGGACTGAGCTAGAAGAGAGACAGATGTGAAAGGAAACCCCACAAGTACAAAACCCCACAAACACAGCAGGTCTGGACTTCATCAGATCTGTTCTTTGGTCTGAGCTAAGGGCAAGAGAACAAACGCTGGGGTGAAGCAGATGGATGGAGAGGCAGTACACAGACTGCATCGTCCACTGCAAATAAAGGCTCTCTGCTCTTTTGCATAAATCAACACACCAGCAGAGGCCAATGGGCTCCCCGCTTCAGTCACTTCAGATGAATTGAACGCGTGACCCACTGCTGTCCTCAACCACTGGGAGGAAGATCTCCTCTTGACCTGCAGCTGGTGGCCAGCTTGCTTCTAAAGCGGAACAATCCCCAGATTTTCAGGCCAGAAGGCATCATTACCACGATACTTTGCATAACGCGTGCTGTATCTGACCTAATTAATTCCAATGCTGAGCACAATATATACAGTGGCTGAGCTACAGCAGCTTTTTTTAGACAAAAATCCCACCTCAGCTGAAAGACAGAGGTAGAAATTCAGCTCTATGCATCAGTAACAGCTCCTTTCCCAAGCTAAGCTGTGCCTGGAGATATGGGTCCAATCCCTTCCTAGCCAACRCATTAGAACCAGAAACAACCCTCCACCAAGAAATTCCTCCTGCGTTTATGCTTAAAATAGCCACGTGAAATACAAAGGGAACATGATAAGAAAAGGCCAACCCAGTTAAGTGAAAATCTTTCACCATCTGCTCTTAAAGACAAGCTCAGTAAAGAAGCTGAAGGAAACTCACCTGTCAATCTCGCTGCTGGTTGGCCTGACCACCTTGGCCCCCGAGGACCCCAACGTGTAAGTCTCTTGGCCCATGGATCCGTGCCCCGTGGTGTCGATCACCATGGCCGTGACCTCCTCGGCGCTGCTCCCGTCCTCTCCCGAGGGCTGATTCTCGGCCGCCAGCCACTCCTCCAGGTTCTCTGTTTTAATGCGCACGCCGCCCAGAACCCGGACGTCGTCGTCGCTCCGTCCCCCGCGCTCTCCCATGCCCGTCTCCACATACCACTGCCCCGCTCTGTTAATGCGCAGGATGGGCTCCCTGCTCTCCACGTCTGAGCTCTGCTCAATTATCTGGGGGCTGGTGGACTCCTCCGGAGGGCTGAGCTCCCGGATGTCCAGCACGGTGCTCACCTGGCCCAGGCGGCTCCCTTTCGGGGTGTTGTGACGGGGGCTCAGCGAGCGGTTCAGATTTGGCGTCACCCGGTGAGATTCTGGCGCTCTCTCCTGATGCTTTGTCCTGGTTTGGCTCAACTCTGCTTCCACTTCTGCCACGTTAATTTTRAAGTGAATTCCCTCAAGAATCTGCGTGCACTTGTCTATAATGTGCTGCATCTGCAAGAAACTGGCCGCCGTTAGGTAGCTTATGATGTCAGCCAGCTGCAGGCAAATCCTCCCGGTGTAACAAAAGGAGAGGAGCTGCTCAAAAACGGAAGGGTTCTTGATGACGGAGATGGACACGGTGCTCATTTCGTTCAGGGACATGTGGTCGCGGAAGTAGGGCGAGCTGGCGGCCAGCACCACCTTGTGAGCGCGGAACGCCTGGCCCTGCACGTTCACCACGATGTCGCACAGGCGGCCCTGCATGCGCAGCTGGTTCAGGTGGCTCAGCACCGAGTTGCTGAAGTCGGGAATCTCCAGCTGAATGTTCCCACTCTTCTCCATGGCTGTCCTGGCTGCGGGCGCACAACCCTACTGAAAGGAGGGCGAAGCAAAAGGCATCTTTAACCGAGCTAGTTTTCTGCCCGCACCGAGAACCTCTCCCATCTATTTCCACTCAGTGTGAAACACTGAGAGCTATTGCACTGCTTCAGCTGCAAGAGGCTGGCAGCAGTTCTCTGATATTTCTGCTCTGCACATCACCCTTTACAAAAACTGTATGAAAACACCCCGATAGGCCTCCCTTCCCTATAGCTTAAGTGCTCGAAACAGCTCAGTTCGTGAGCCTCAGTAAAAACATATTTTCACTGTAAAGGGAACATTAAAAATGGTTCAGATTCTAAAAATAGGTAAGTGATTGCATAATGGATTAAAATACTTAGCACTGGTACCTTCTAAGCCCTTGGAGAGATATAATATTGTTATCCCTCTTTTTGTAGGACAGGACTCCTCAGGAGCTAAATACTCCTCAGAGACTTTTGGAAATCTGAGCAGCACATATGTGAACCTGAGATCTCCTAAACAGATCGTTTAAACCAAGACGTTCATCATTTGTGGCACTTCTGACAGGCAGCAGAAAACAGGAAWGAGGCCAAGGGAAGAATGCAGTTCTCAACATTGATTCCTTAGACCATTCCCTGGGCACAAATGATGCCAGGAGAACAGAAGCAAACATTTATGCAGTTTGGGATTTTGCATACAGCAAAACATGACTTAGGAACAACAGGGATCCACAAAGAAACTTGCTAAGTTTGCTTTCCATAATTCTTTTTTTCTTTTTTTTTTTTTTAATATAATACTCACTTTTCATTTTGGCAAGGTCAGAAAAGGAGCCCTGACCATATATGGTAAAAATTTGGAATGAGCCAAAATTAGATGCAAGCTCACCAAAAAAAAAAAGAAGAAAGAAAGAAAGAAAAAAAGGAAGAAAAAGAAAGAAAGCAAATATATTAATTAAAGATCACTCGTGCCATGAAGACAGCTTCAAGCTGGATGGCATCTGAAGTGTTGATTAGGCAGAACGTGGCAGACATCAAAACAATTTCAGGCAATCCAGGAATATCCAGGCTCGTATCGAGCCTGTTCTGGGAGGTGTATGTCAGAATCAAAGAGACTAGCACACGCATGAAGTGCATTTTATATAGATAAAATATATATATATATAAAAATATATATGTTTGCCTTGGAAGAGCAGAGGCCCGAAGCTTCTACATATTTTTTTTCRGTGGCTGCTGCAGGATTGTGCATGTTTATTTGCCAGAGCAGACTTTGTGCAAACTTGGCAAAATATGTTACTAAACCTGAAGCTGCAGAGCAGCCTGTCAATCTCACCGAGTTGTGCAAAGGGTTCCCTCGGCGCCCGCGGCCGCTCCGCCAGCGGCAGGCGACACGGGGAGCCGGGAGCCGCGTGAGGCTTCCGGGGCACAACTGAGCATTGCCACAGCTCAGCCCGTCTGCCCTTCCTCTGCCTCGGACAGGAAGAGACATGGGGAGAAAAACAAAAGAGCACCAAAAGAGCACAAAAACGGCCGAAGGGACCATGGCGCACAGAAACCCACATCAACACAGCGTGACRAGCAGAACTTCCACCACGCAAAACTGATGCCTCACCTGTAACATTAATGGTAACATGCACGGYGGGGAATGGGGCTGGTGTCCTTGTGTCTTCCTGTTTTCTTCTGATGTGGTAAGAAGGTCTTCAAACTTTTTGCCCCCTTCCCCTTTAGGAAGAAAGAAAAAAAAACATAGCACAGAGGAACACGGTTCCCTGGAACACGAGCAGGGCCGCCAACTTGTGTCTCTCCTCCTTTGCCGCAGGACTATTGGCAATATCAGCCCTTACACGCCACCCCGTCCCACCCGAACCGCAGAGGCAATGAGAYACCGCATCTTATCAGGGAGAGATTTCCCACCGTCTGTATGGGGTTTTCATTACACATCTGCTCACTGAAACACGAAAATGGAACAGCAAACAACCTCAAGAACTTATTTCCTCTGTTATGCGGCTGGTATCTCCAGCCCTGCCYGACAGGCACTGAAACACCCGCATAGTTTTACCCACGTGAGGCATTCCACGGTATCAGCAGGACCACTCGCACGGCCAACACCACGCCGGGTATTGGCGCCCACTCATGGGGCGAGGGCCTTAATCTGCCATCTGCCCCGCGGCCGGTTTCCAGAGCGATAAGATCCGCAGCGCTCCCTCGCTCCGGGCAAAGGAGCCGAGAGGGCTGCTCGCACGCGCAGCCCCGCGAGGAGGGCGGCCCAGGCTCCGGCCACCTGCTCCATGCACGTACACAACAAGGGGGCAAAAAGGAAAGCAAGAAGAAAAAGGGGGGGAAAAAAGGGGAGCAAAAAGAAAATCTGCCACAAGCTAGTGACACCAAGGACGTGTGGCCACAGTTGGGAGTTGCTGCTCCTCAGGGAACCCGGAAAACTCCGTGTGCCTTCCCTGCTGCTGCTGCTGCAGACAAGGAAAAATCCTGCCTCTTAGCGCAGAGAAAAGGCACAAAGCTCTGGCTACCTTGATACCAAAGCAGGGATGTTTGATGTGTGTTTTGGGGACGACCTACATCAGGCGCTGGCAAGCGGGTGATCTTCCTTTTTGCTTTGAACACCTCTCTCACCAGGACATAACTGTTGGGTCTCAGTTGGCCCCTCGGCGGGCACCGCAAGGAGATCGCAGGTTCCGGGGGGCTGGTGCGGGACCCCCCGTTCGCCCTCCTCGCGCACGGTGCTGCGGCCTGGCCCTCCTTACCGGGGCAAACGGCCTCTGTGCGCTGCCGCTGCCAGCAGGGATCCCTGTCCCCGCTGGGAGCAGCGACATCCCGAGCGCAGCCGGGGCAGGAGCCTCCGCAGGGCTTGTAGGAGGGCTGACCCCGCAGGAAAGGCCGTGGCGGCTGGCACGGGCAGGGGCCCCGCTCGGAAGGAGCTCACTGGAAGCAGCAGGAGCCTCTGCTCCAAACCGCAGCGGGGGCTGCTGCCCTCGGCCCCCCGCTCCTCCGCCGCCTCCGCGGCGGGACCCACGGCGCTGCCAGGAGCAGGTGCCCGGGCGCGCGCGCCAGGAGCGCGGCGGCGGCCTCCGAAAAGCGGCCGGGYGGCGCGGGCGCCTCCCGGGAGGGGAGAGAGGCCGGGACAGGCCGGGCAGCCCATTCCCGCATCCCTCCCGCCGCTCACCTCCATGCCCGGGCTCCTTCCCCGCGCGCCCGGCTCCTCGCCCGCCGCTCCCGGCCGCTTTCCCTACGCTCCCAGCTCCTCGCCCTCCGCTCCCAGCTCCTTCCGCTGCACCCCCGGCTCCGCTCCCGGCTCCATGCCGGGCCCTTTCCCTGCGCTCGCCGCCCAGCCCC